TGAAAGCCAAGTTCTTAACTCTCAAGGCCCTCCGCAATCTGACCTTTCCTGTCCTCCTCCATTCTACCAGCAGTCCACCCCCACTCACACTGCCATGTTCTGGTCTCTCAGAATCACTAGTCATTCCTTAAATATACCATGTTCTTTCACATTCTTTTTTCCCCCCAAATATATTTTTATTGATTTCAGAGAGGAAGGGGAGGAGAGAGAGAGATAGAAACATCAATGATGAGAGAAAGTCATTGATTGGCTGTAGCCCGCAACCCGGGCATGTGCCCTGACCTGGAATGGAACCATGATCTCTTGGTTCAATGTTCAACCACTGAGCAACATCGGCTGGGCTTCTTTCACATTCTTTGGGTTTTGCACAGACTGTCCACTTGGCCTGGTAATACCAACCTTTAGTCCCCACATCCTTGAAATCCTACATTCTTCAAGATCTAGCTCAAACGTTACCACCCACGCTCCATGCTTTCAGCCCTTTGCACATGCCTCTGTCATAGCTGGTATCACATTGAAGACAGGGACCACATTTGCTTATCTGGATATCATCAGCATCTATCCTGATACCAGACACACAGAAGGTGCTCACTAGGTGTTTTTATAGATGGATGAATGCAGGAGTGGAGGAGAGGGTTGAAGTGATGAATAGAAATCAGTTGGAAAAGTGGTTCCTTTTTTAAAACATATGGGACAATTTGAGACACACTTTCAGTGAAAGATCCTTCTGCATTAAGTCCATGAAAAAGCTGGCAAACTGAGTAAGGAAAAGGGAAATAATGTAGGTTTTTATCCAGTAAATGATGAGAGGCCTTCAGAACCACTTCCAAGGAGTATAAAAGTCATGTAATAATGGTCATCAGAAAGTCTGGCCCAACCGATAAATAAAGTTGCATTATCAGTCATTATTTAAATGCTTGCTTGCTCGCTCTCTCTTGGCCAACCCCAGATGCTTAAGCCCCAGAGTTGCCTTTTCCTTCTCAGACTGTCTGACTTGAGATCTCAACAAGGGCTCTAGGGAAAAGAGAGAGAGAGGAAGAGAGAGAGAACAAGGGGGAAAGGCCTATCTTCCAAGGTTGTTGAAATTTTTTAACTACAGCCTGGTTCAGGTTCACGAATTCAGAAGATGACTTGACAACTTTGCTGCCTTCCCAGAGTGGGGAATGCTAATGGAAAGCAGCTGGACTCATTAAAAAAAATCTGATAGGATGAAATACTTTTCATAGAGTCTGTGGTAGGCAGAATTCTAAAGATGGCCCTCAAGATTGTTGTCCCTCCCCCAGTGTGCATGCCCTATAAATCCCTGGTCCTTGAGTGTGGGTGGGTCTGGCCTAATCAGGTGAGCTTTTTTAAAAGAGTGTCTAGAGGTCACATATAGACATCAGAGAGATTTGAAGCTACAGCAGATACTCTCCTGTTGGCCTTAAAGGAACAAACTGCCAGGTTGTAAAGAGGACCAAGTGGCAAAGAATGGCAGGTGGCCTCTAGTAGTTGAGAGCAACCCTTGGTTGGCAGCTATCCAAAAAGCAGAGACCTCAACCCTACAACCTCAAAAAATTGAATTCTAACAACAACCAGTCAGTTTGGAAGAAAACCTGGAACCTCAGATGAGTCTTTATTTCTTGCTGATACACTGATTACGGCCTTGTGAGACCCTGAACAAAGGACTTGGCTGTACCATGCCTGGACTCTTGACTCATGGAAACTGAGAGATAATTTGCGTTGTTGTAAGGCACTAAAATTTTTGGAACTTTTTACACAGCAATGGAAAACAGATACAAGTCCTCCAAGCTCTAACTGAGTAAAGTGGAGTAAATTTGGAACTATGTAAGCTGCAACACAGAACTCAGTGAGAAGCCAATGAGGGTATTGTTGGCTCCCTTCTCCCAGCCCACTCCACCACAAACATTTTTTTTAAGAACATAAGTTGCCACTCTTTCAAGTGAGTTGACAGCTGAGCAGGTTAAGCTCTGCCAAAATGTTAGAACATGCAAAAGCCTCCTGAAGGCTTACCTTGTTTGAGATGGCTTTCTCTACCCACACGAGAATGTCTCCAACCCCTTTCAACTATTGCTATACTCGTGATCTCCTCAACCAGTGTGTATGTATTTGCCATCAGTGAATGAAGAGTCCTAGAGTTGAACATCCTAGCACAGAAGGGGTGAGAGAATGATGGCAAATGCCTTCCTCCTTAAAACTACCCAGCCAATTCTAGAGGAAATATCCTCCTCCAGGAAGCCAACTCATAAAGGAATCTGAGCTGCTCCCAGAAATGAAAACACCAGAAAAGGCCCCCATTCTCCTTATTAATTATAAAACCAGCTAACCTCCAAGGCAGAGGAGTCTGTGACTACTCCCCTTTCCTCTTTTCCTTGCATGAAATTGGCAGGAAGGCATTAGAGGTTCAACCAGCTCTTGGACTCACACAGTGAGCTCCAGAAGTCTTGTTCCATGAGCCCATCAGCAATGAGGATGGATCTGATGTGGACAGTCACCTCACTGATTGGCAGAGTTCATTTGGGGTGGTAGGAGTTTGATACCATGTTCCACTCATGATACAACTGTTTCCATGCAAAAATCAGAGCTTTGTAAGGTAGTCAGCATAACTGGCATTTTCCCAGCAAGGTCCAAGAGCAGCAGCAACTCTTAGCAGGCTCTAGACCAACTAGTTAGCTCTAGAACTTCTGTTTTCTTATGCTCCTAAGAGCAGATGTGAGTGCCCTCATGGGGTCCTGGATAGAGGACAGCAATCTTGATGATTGTTTATCCTGGCTCCTTGAACCCTGATGGATATCTGCCCAAAGCAGTAACTGTAACATGGCTTTTGTGGAACATTGTTTGAAAAAACATCTTCAGCAACCTGTGCAAAGCCAACCCTCAAAATGCCCGTGGGTGTCAGTAAGAAGGCATACAAGGGATAGAGGATCACTTCTCTACATTCCATACCCTCACCGGTGGGTATTTGACCACCAAGGCCATCAAGTGGATGCCTAAAATACTCACCATTAGCATCATTCCCCTTCAACCAGACAACAAAGTCAAAACATTATTTCCCAGGGTCTGTCTCTCTCTTTAGTACTCCAAAGTCTTTATGCCAATCTACTCTGTGATCCAACCTATTTTAGTATTATGGAGGCAATGACAAAGACAAAATAAAACAGTTAACATTTCCTGGACATTTAATATGTGCAGACACTATTTGAAGTGTTTTGCATACATCATCTCATATAATCCTCAGAGCAATCCTCTGAGGTAGGTACTATTTGTTATCACTCCTCCCCCATTTTGTAGATGAGAAAAGTACAAAGCTAAGTAACTGCCCAGGGTCACATGGAAGTACATGGTGAAGGCAAGATTTGAACAGGGAAGTTTGACTCCAGAGCCCATAAGTGTTACACTAAAATCATTCACTCCCTGAGGATAATAATAATAATAATAATAATAATAATAAACATGAAAATCGTATATGTGGGGGGCTATAGGCCGCAAGGACCATAGAACAGGAAGCTATAGAGTGTGTTGCTTGCATGTGTGGTACAGGGAGTCAGAGGGCAGAAATGAGGCAGAAGGCAAAAGTAAGCCAGAGAAGTGTGTCTAAAATATGTTGCAAAAACAAAACAAAACAGCCTGGCTAGGTGTGGCTTAGCTGTTGAACATCAACCTAGGACCCAGGAGATAGAGGTTAGATTCCCGGTCAGGGCACATGCAGGGTTGTGGGCTCGATCTCCAGTCGAGGGCTTACAAGAGGCAGCCAATCAATGACTCTCTCATCATTGATGTTTCTTTCTCTCCCTCTCCCTTCCTCTCTCTGAAATCAATAAAGATATATTTTTTTAAAAAACCAACACACACACACACACACACACACACAAAAACACCAAAATACATTGCAAAGCCAAGTTGGTCAGGGAGTGTCAAAGCAAGGCTAGAAAGCTGAGGCCTAGATGTAAATGAGGTCAAAGAACAAGGGAAGGTGAGAGTAGAGGGGAACAGCAGATGGAAGAATTAGGAGACATGAGGCAGTCTAGCCACAGGAGGTCCTAGAGGTTGCTTTTGTGGCTGGCTCCATTTAAAGCAGCAAAAGGGACTAAAAGGAACCTCTTGGTGTAGGCTAAAGTAACCATGAAAGGCCTAGCAAAGGAAGCCCACCTTAAGATGGGCCATTTGCTAGGTAAGAAAGTTTGTTAACAGCTTGAGAACTGAGGCACTGAGAATCAGCAGAGGTGAGTTGGGGATGAGGCAGAGAGGGCAGATGATAGCCAGAAACTCTGGATTACCAGGAAGAGCCTGAGGACTCTGACTTGGAATGATGTTCTTGGGGGCAATGAGGCATAGGTGGCACCTGGCTTACTTATATCCCTTTTGCCCAGGGTCAAATCTGCTCTCACACCTGATTCTTGTACCTCTTTGATCCATTGCCTAGAAAAGAACTTCTGGAGAAGGACACAGGAAGAAGGCTCCAAGACAAGGGAGACCAGATAGCAATGGATTGGAAAATGGAGTGCCCCAGGGGCCGGGGTTAGACAGGACAGCAAGAGGTCAGAGAAAGAGGAGGGCTTAGAACTGGGAGAGGCTAGAAGACAGTTAATGGGAGTGGGGAGAGAAAGGCTCAGATGGCCAAGAGCAGAAAAAAGATTCCTGGTACCATCCTCCTGTGTTCACTTTAGGCCTAGAAGCAGAAAGGATCACAACACTCAGTGCTCAAAGCATTCTCACAATCCTTCTCATTCAACTGAAGTCATTCCTATGCAGGAAGAGAAGGGGGATTGTCTCTTTGAAGGAGTAAATGACATATGCAAAGCTCTTTCCACTAGAGTCACCACCTCAAGGGAAAAAGAAAAGTGGCAGTGAGAACCAGGAGAGTAGAAATCTATTGAACTTCCTTAAACTTTAAGGCACAAGAATCCCTAGTCAGAATGGCCTAGGGAAATAAATGCCACCCTGGGAATAAAATTACAGAAGAGAGCTTGACTGAGGGTGGGAGGTGGCTGGCCCCTTACCCCAGCTGGACATTGCTCTGTTGTCCACTTAAGAGTGAGAAGGAAGCACACAGCCAGCATCTGAGGAATAAATGAGATAAGCATGAAAAATAGCAAAGTACCTGATACAAAGTAAGTGCTCAATAAATAATAAGGTTTTTAAAAACTACTGCTACAGATATTGACAATGGCATGAGAAATGAGTGAGGGGGAAAGCTGTAAGTCAACACTCTGCCTTTACCCCCAGAGATTCTCATTCTTCGTTGGGGGTGGGGCCCAGAGATCTGAATGTTTCATAAACTCCCAGGTGATTCTGAGGTAGACACCCCGCTTTAAGGAAACCCTGCTGCAAGTCATGTTGGGAAGCCATAAGAAATGGACGGCAGGAAGCAACCCAAATGCCTATCAATGGACGAGTGGATAAAAAAAAGCGGTGGTACATATATACATTGGAATATTACTCAGCCAAAAAAAAAAAGTGAATGAATGAATGAATGAGCCTGGCTGGTGTGGCTCAGTTGATTGAGCATTGTCTCATGCACCAGGAGGTCACTGGTTCAATTCCCAGTCAGGGCACATGCCCGGTTTGCAGGTTTGGTCCACAGTGGGGGGTGCACAGGAGGCAGCCAATGGATGTTTCTCTCTCATCCATGTTTCTGTCTCTTTCTCCCTCTTCTTTCCTCTTTCTGAAATCAATAAAAAAACATATATTTATTACTTTTAAAACAAGAATGAAATCTTACCACTGCAACAGCATGGATGGACCTAGAGGGTATAATGTTCAGCGAAATAACTCGGTCAGAGAAAGACAAATACCATATGATTTCATTTATGTGTGGAATCTAAAGAAAAAAAATTAACAAACAAAATAGAAACAGATTCATAGACACAGAAAACAGACTGATGGTTGTTGGGTACTGGGAATCTCAGGGGGAACACTTTGTAAAATATATGATTGTCTAACCACTATGCTGTTCACCTGAAACCAATACAAAATAATATTAGAAGTAAACTGTAATTGGAAAATGAAAAAAATATTAAGTTTTAGTTTATAATATGTACATGAAGCCTTTAAGTGTCTGAAACTTAATTAGAATTGTTGAAATTAAGTAGTGGGTTAGGAGTGTTCAATGTACAACTGTATAACAACATTGTATTATATACAATTCTTTAAACTTTTCTGTATATTTGAGGTTTTTCATAATAAAGTGTTGGGGAAATAAAAAATGGATGGCAAGGCAAGGGTGGTGAAGAAAAAGGAAACTGACTGATATCCAAGAAGGATTGTGACCACAAAAGAAGATATTTTGTGTTTTTAATAAACATCTCTAAGACTTTAGCCTTCAACATGACCAATCAACTTTTGAGACTTGACACCTCAGTTCTGCTATGAATTAGCTGTGAGGCCTCAGGCACACCAAGTCCTTTCTCTAAGCCTCAGCTTCCTCACCTAAGAACTAAGGGGTTGAACTACACTTGAACTAGACTTGAGCCCAAAGTTCCTTTTAGTTCAGACATTCTGGGATTCTTTGAGTCACTCAGACACTCTTTCAAAGTTCCTAGTTCATTCCCAGAGAGCCAGGCTTTGCAGAAGCCCACTACAAGCCCTACTTGAGTAGGCCAACGGAGAACCAGCCTTCAGAGCAACCCTTCAGAAGCCTGCCAGTATTTTTAGAAAGCTCTTCTACCTTCAGATTGTTTAGAAACTAAGCTATTTTTCCCATTTAAGAAATGCACAGGGTTTCAGATTTGTCTTAAAACCCCCCACTCATTCTTTCTTCCCTTTCAAAAGCAATTTTTTTAAAAAATTCTTCAAATCAAGAGTTCATCCCTATCAGAAAACTACCACGTCCCAGAGATTTTCCTCCCTCTTCAAACTCTGAATAAGCAAACAGGCATTTCTGCATCAAATAAGGCCTTTGGATCACTAATATTTGGCTTCTGAAACCACAGGCACAGAAGAAATAAACATTCCTCACATGTAAAAGCAAAATTATGTCCTTCAAAAATAGGTGACGGAGGTTTAGTGGGGATATTTTTCCCACCTGATTCCCTTAAAGGGCTTCTGGAAACCCTCTCCAACTACCACAAATGAACAGTGAACTAATGTAGAAACCTCTGTCCATATGCTTTATGCAAATTTGGGAAAGTAAACTTTTCCTGCTTATCTACTGGGCTCTGCTCAGAATGTGTGCAGGCAGATGTGCCTGGGCTCCCAGGCCCTTTTCCTTTCCCCAACCCCCATGGGTCTCAGAAGTCTCCCTTTCATTTACTCCCCTCTTCATTTTTCCAAGACAGTTGGGAGTTCTAAATGCAATAAGGAAATCTTAGTAACATAACCCACAGCTTATCAAATGAACTGGTCTTTGGTCCATGGGGTTCCCAGGATGGAAAATAAGACATAATGACCTTGTTGATATAAAAGCACAACGTGACTTTACCAGTTTTTAGTAGCAATCTTTTCTGAAATAACAGTGCCTACATTTGTTACTTTTTAAAAAATCTATATCTAGACCCTCCCATGTTTGTACTCTTCTTTCTCTTTTTTCCCCATTCCTCATTTTGAACATCTCCCTTATATGTTATAGTAGATAACTGAATTATATTGTTATAATTTGTTGTGTTTATAACAAGGAATACAGTTCCAAATGTTCGGGTTAGATGAGTAAAATGTTTTGTTTCTACTATCAAAGAAATTCAAAGAAGCCATTTTAACAATAGGGGGCCCTTTGTTAAATTTTTCCCATTTAGCCTTGGAGCCAATAGATAAAATTCTTTCTCTCCCTATCAGGCTCTGAGTCTTCCGAAGACTAGAACATCTAACTAATGAAGATTGTCACAAGCTGTGTGGCCTTGGACAAGTCATGTGATTTCTTTATGCTTCAGTTTCCTTATCCATAAAATGAACCTCCTCCCTCTTCCCAAGGATGAAAGAGGTATGAATGTCACAATATCATGTTCTTTTGCAGTGTTTTTGATTTTCTGATCCAGTAGTTTCTGAGCAGATGTTCCTTTGTCATAGAAGGAGAAATTTGGCAACTTGGCCTTCTGAGGAGGGAGCATACTTGCAGAAGGGTTAGGCTATGAGGTTGGACAAATCTAGATTTGACTCCTGGCTTTTGTCAATTACTAGCCTGTGATCTTGAGCAAGTCACTTAATTGTTCAAATCCTAAATTTCCTTATTTTTTAAGTGGGGCTAAGAGCAGTAGCTCCATCATAGGTTAAATGTGAGGACTCATTCACTTAATAACTATTTGTTGAGTACCTACTATGTGCTAAGAGATCAAAATAGTGCTTGAAAAACAGAAGGGTTCTGCTCTCACAAACAATTTTGTGAAGTAACACGTATAAAGGTATTGGCATAGAGTGTAATATATAAGAAGCATTCAATACATGTTAGCTATTATCATTACTATTCTCCCATGGTGATAATGAACTAGGTCCCCTGTTCTCCATGGGTTTCTCAAAAGTAGGGGATGAGACTTCCTCCAGTTATCCATACTCTCTCCAGCAGTCCCCTGATGACCAGCAGCTTTGTAAATAGCTATCTGCATTGAGGGATGGAACCCATGGCTGTGTGAGGGAAAAGTCAATGAGATCCAGTCTGTGCCCTTTGCTCCTTAGCTGCCACTGGATCAACCAGCCACAGATATGGCTTGAGTTTAGATTCCAGATGCCTTGGAAACCCACTGTCTCCAGAAAGCCTCTCTCTGGGCACACAGAGTATGGTAATTTCTTGTGGGAAACTCCCAAGTCCAAGTGAGGCTGCTCAGGCTCCTCATTAACACTGTATTTATGACTGACTCAGAACCCTGTGCTTCATTTTCATTGGATATTCATAATCCTCCAAGGAGTAGGTCCCATTATCACTCCTGTTAGTCTGTCCATAAACAGTTCAGACTGCTCTTCTAGACATGGTAGTGGCACAGCAAGGAGGGTCCTTTTCCCTTTCCTCTTCTCAAGAAAGAATTGTATGGTTTCCCCATAGCATCAGCAGAAACTTCCGTTTCCTTTTTCCATCTCAGAGAAACAGAAATGGGATTATGACTAATTAATTGGTTAAAAGTTGCCCTTTGTTCATCAACATTAGGTGGCAAGGAACTCATGTTTAGCAGCCTATATCCCTGCCAGTTACTTGACTTAATCCTTGTGACAATCCTGTGAGGTAGAAATCATTATCTCCATTTTACAGATGAGACAACTAAGCCTCAGAAAGATGAAGGCATTCGCCCATGGCCACAGCTAGTAAGTAGCACTGTGACGATTCAAACCCATGTCTGACTCCAAAGCCCCAGTGCCAAATATTTTCAGTGTGTGTACATGTGTATCTCTTGGGCCAAACACGATGCTGGGTGGCTGAGCCCTTGAGCAGTATGGCCTTTGATAGCACACTAAAAGCTCCTGGGAGGAGCCCTCTTCTCTCCCAGTGTGCCAGATGCCTTGCTCCTTCATTAGTAGCCTGGGAGGCAGGCTGGTCCATACACCGCTCTGGTTGTCCAACCCCAAATGTCAAACTTCCATGCATCCTTAAAGTGGTGCCTGGGCTCTCCTAAAACACTACTGGCTGGATGACGAACAGAGGCAAATCTGACATTGAAGCGCTCCTGGCCTCCTGCTGCTCTCCAGTACAACTTCTCCAATTCAGGCACTCTCATTCTGAATTTAAGGCAATTCTACCAAGACAGAACTTTGCACTGAATCTAAATAAATGCACTCTTTTGTGCCAACTTGTAACATTAACCTTACACTTACAGAGAGCTTTGGCCTCTTCAAAGCTTTTCTGCAGCCATTTGACTCTCCCAACTATTCTGTGATATAGACAGGGAAGTTGCAATAAATGATTATCATTTTTGTTATTACTCCCACTTTACAGATGAGAAAACCAAGGCCTAAAGAGGCATGGGGACATGCCTATGGTAACGCTATGAGGGCTGAGAGTTAGGGCTCTACTTATTAAATCGCCTTTAAAAGTTTTGTTTTTCATCACATGATTTCGCTTATATGTGGAATGTAAAGAACTTAGTAAACATGAACAGAATAGATTCAATGACATGGAAGCATAGATGAGACTGACGAATGT